TCTTGGATGAAGAAGTAATCCTTCTGGCCAGGGTCAACTCTTCTATAGAAATCTTTAAATCCATCCTCCCCCACCTTTTCCAGCAAATCATCCTGCCCACCCACCCATCTCTATGCTCCCTCCAATCTTCAGTCTCCACGTACTGACTCCTTCTCTGCTGCTTACAAATACCCCACATCTTCCCCAATCTTTAAAAAAAAAAACTGATGATCCTAAGATCCCTGCTAGCTATTTTCTATATCGTTTTTCCTCCTGTCAGCTTAACATCGTGAAAAACGCTGTCATCACTAGGTGATTTAACTTCTTATTGTCTAAACCTGCTGCAATCTGGCTATCATTCTCATTATTCAATGGAAACTGGTCTCTCTAAAGTTACTAGTGATCTCTAAAAGGCCAAATCAAATGAACTTTTCTTAGTTCTCATTCTGCTTGACATCTCTGAAGCATTTGACACTGTATACTCTCTTCTCTTCTGGTTTTCTAACTAATTATATCTGTCCCCAAAGTCTCTGTCCTCAGTCATCTTTTCTTTTACCTCTACACTATCTCCTTTGAAGATCTCCTGAGTTCAGTTATTTTTATGTAGATGACCACATCTACCTATATATATACACACACATATACATATATATACATACATGAACATATATATATACATATACCTATGTGTGTGTGTGTATATATATATACACATACATATAGCATACAATAAAACACCATAACAAGGTGAACACAATCATTTCCTAGGACTAAAAGGGGACCAATGGTTTTTCCTACCCACCTTAGCACCTTAGCAAAATAGATTGCTATTTCCCTAAGCTGAGAATATCACTGTTACTCAGACCATCGTCCACTGTAGAATTCTTCTTTTCTATGAGGACACAAGTTGAATTTTTGTCAGTCCACAGCCACAGGGGCAGAACCATAACTTGCTTTCTTATTATGTTGGTTTCTCAGCCCTCTAAATTTCCCTTTTCAACCCCTATAGGACTGTCAAATTAAAGTATACTATATAGTTAGTTGTGTTTGGACTGAAGAAAGGGATTTGGTTAAAAATGTATGCCTTGGCTACAAGACTGGGGTGGGTAGGGGCATTCCTGGTAGTCTGGGACAATGGAGAATGAGGTTTATGGTTCTCTTGTAAAAGAAGAACTCCTGGTATCTGTCGTGGCTTTTGTGGAGGATAATTTCAACTTCTTGCTGTTGTTCCCTTAGTTTTGGCCAGGTCCCTTCCTCTATTTCCCTTGACATCATGTCTTGAATTTCACTGTCCCATGATGAGTGGAAATTAAGACCAGTTTTTAACTCTGTCCTGCCCCCTAAAAAAAACGGTTTCTCCTATTTCTTTCAATGGTACCTCAGGTTTAGAAACTGATCACTTTCTTGCTTCCCAAATTCAATAATTACTAACCCTTCAACTTCTTTCAGAATCTCCATTCCTTTTGGCTCCTGGCACCCCTGCCCTACTACAGACTTTTGATCACCTCAAGTCTGGATTACAGTAATAACCTCTTAACTAAGCCTCTGCTTCCATTCTCTTCCCCTGGGACACAACCTACAGGTCACCAGACTTATCTTGCTCAAGTACATCTCTGATATCATTCTCCTTTGCCTACTGAATAAATCCCAGTTTCAGCCTGCTATTCAAGGCCTTCCATTATTTTTCCAGTCTTTTCCTACTAGACTTCATCCTTTCCCAGCACTATCCCTTTACTAATATCCCACCCTGCCTGAAAGTCCCCCTAACTCCACCTGATGTGTACCACTCATTATCTCCATCTATCAAAATTTGAACCTTCCTCAAGATGAGTAAACTATGGTGATCAAAATTAAGTGATATCCTCCCTAGTTTACTATAACTTCCTAAAGGGAAGAGATTATCATTTTTCATCTCTATATCCCCAGCTTCTAGCATAATGCCTTGTATGTATTAGGGACTTAATAAAGTTTATTCACTAATGATAGTTTTTCTGAAATGTCACATCTGACTATATAAATAGAACTCTAAGAAATTCCTTATAGACTTTGAGATGAGGAAAATGGAGAAAAACATGCCAGTATTGTAGAAAAAGATAAAGATTATTGTATTATTATCATTATAGCTTAGAAGCCATCTAGTCCTAATAAAAGATAATAAATAATAATAATTTAGAGGTCATCTAGTCCTACCTACCTCTTCATTTTAGAGGAGAAAATTGAGACCCAAGGAAGGGAAGTGACTTAACCAAAGTCACACCTTTCATGAAAAACTTCATCTAGAACCTAGGCCTTCTGACTTCCAATTTAATATTCTTTTCATCATGCTGCTTCTAGACCCAAAAGCCTTCCAAATCCTAGGCAGTTGCAATGGTTTTCCTAAGGCTCAGAAACTGAATCAGGTGCAACTAAAATCTAGTATCTAGGGACAGAAGGGGAGCCACCACAAAGGACTCCTAGTACCCATTGTTGGGCCAGTCTACAGCAAAGCCACAGACTGGGCGGGACCCAGAAGTAGCTACTCATAGGAAATGGGAAGAAATGGAGAAAAAAAGGGAAAATTACCTTAATTTGTTATCAGACCTATCCAAAGTAAGACAGGTCTGGCCAGTTCCTGCTGTGCTATTATATCATTTTTTCCTAAAGTGGTAGGTTATTGCTCTTTCTTCTTCTTACCCCGGCAAAATAATAGAAGGCCAGAGTGACAGACCTGGAGTCAGACAACCTAAATTCAAATTCCAGTTCTCATACTTATTAGCTATTTGACCTCAGTCAAGTCATTTAACTCCTCTGAGACTCATTGTCCCCATCTTGAAAAGGAAAATAATGTATTTGCATTATCTACCTCACAGGATTGCTCTGAAAAAAGCACTTTGGAACAACTCTGCTTATTAGGAAGGTTTTCCTTGTATTATGACAAAACCTAACAGACTTCAATTTGCTTATTTAACATGGGAGGCAACTGAGAACAGAAAGGAAAGGTTACTTGTCTATGATCATACAACGAGTTAGTTCCTGAGCTGGGACTAAGACCCAGAGCCCAGATCTTTCCGAGGCTTTGAAGAGTATTTCCTTTTCAAGAAAGAGGTCCCAGGAGCAATTGCTCAATCCTTCAGACCAGCGCTTTTGTTTTTGCACCATAGACTGTCATGCTATCACTCCTGCCTGGGTCTCCTAGGAGAACTACATTGAGGAAAATAAAGAAAGCACAGCAGGTTGCATCTGTTACTCTGCACAGATTTTCTTCCAACTTTTGTTACTGAGAGAATTCTCACCCTACACACATTAGTTATTTCTATGCATAAAGTGTTTTATTGTACCCTCTTGGATTCCATGCCATATCAAGGATATTTTATTTCTAGACAAGACAGAGGAAACCCCTTAACTAAAGATCGTGCCCAAAGAACTTCAGATGTATCCTAAAAGAGAAACATTTTCTCTTGGAGGAAGACCTGTGATAATGACAGGATGTCTTGTGGGTTGTAATGGAGCATCTCTTGAGATATGATTATTTTATCAGCTGCTTCCATTTGTTCCATGTAACTTATTTTCCCATCATTCCCTCCTTTAATACAGCCAGGCACTAAGCAGATCTCAGCCTCGTGGAGGATGCTGATGAAATTTGAATGTTGGTTACCCTCCTGTTTTCAGAGATTGTAGGATCGTAAGCTTAAGAGCTAAAAGGGAGCTCAGAGATCACCCAATACAACACTTCATTTTCCAGATGAGACAACTCAAGCCCAGAGAAATTGATGATTTAACAATGACACATACATAATAAAAAATAGAGCAAAGATTCAAACCCAAATTCCCTCATTCTGAAATCAGTGTACTTTCTACTATATCATATTATTTCTTCTAGGACTTTACCTCAATTCTGAACCTGAGTGTGATGAAAGGGGAAAAAAACAAAAGCAAAACAATAAAAAAGGATACATTTGGCCTGATATGAATCCTTTTCCAAAAGCCAGTCATCATCTCCCCTTTGCCAAGACAGACTTAGATGCAGATAATGATTCTGAACTTCTTTACCTCTCAAGTCTGTACTCCACAGACTGTGGAGGCATCACCTTAATCCCTTAGTAGGAGGTATTACCTTAGTCCTTTCGAGTTTGATGTCACTCCACTTCCCTCAAAATGTTCCTCCCTCCAAAGCAGATGACTGTCTACCAAACATGCCTTGTCCTTTCCCACCTGCATGCCTTTTCTCATATTATTCCCTACGCAATGAATGCCTTCTCTCCCTTTCATCTATTGAATACCTATCAATTCTGAAAGCCCAACTAAAATATTGCATCCTCTATATAACCAACCTGATCTATCCTATCCATAATCCCTTCTCTTCCTTCCCTTCCCTTCTTGGATCTCAAAAAGCCCTTTACTTTGCAATTCTTTAACATGTTGACCCCATACTGTTGTATGTTATATTTATCTGTTTGTGTCTTGTCACCTTATCAGTCTGTAGGATCCAGGAGGTCAGGGAACACTTTTTTTGTTACTGAGAAAATTCTCACCCTACACACATTAGTTATTTCTATGCATAAAGTGTTTTATTGTTCCCTCTTGGATTCCATGCCATATCAAGGATATTTTATTTCCAGACAAGACAGAGGAAACCCCTTAACTAAAGATCGTGTCCAAAGAACTTCAGATGTGTCCTAAGACAGAAACATTTTCTCTTGGAAGAAGATCTGTAATAATGACAGGATGGCTTGTGCCAGACATTGTGCTAAATACTGGGGATACAAAATGAAGCTAGACAATCCCTGCCCTCAAGGAGCTTACAATCTAATGGGGAAGCCAAAATGCAAACAAATATATACAAAACAAACAAATACAAGATAAAAAGGAAGTAGTTAATAGAAGGAAAGCACTAGAATTAAGAGGAGTTGGGTCTGTTGAGTTGTATTGAATTAAATTGATTATCCCAATGATCCATGGGATACTTTGAAAAAAGCATAACATTTTTTTCTTTGACTTATCACTGACTGAGGTGCAATGACCATTTCCCTACTTTCTTTCAGTGCTAAAATGATCAACAGCACACAAGGAGTCCTTCAACCTGGAATTAATGAATCATTATTCAATGAGACTGAGAGCATCCAGTGTTCTTTTGCTGAATTTTGGAATTGGTTCAACATAATACAGACCCCATTCCTCTGGATCATCTTTGTGTTGGTCACAGTCGAAAACATGTTCGTCCTGAGTGTGTTCTGTTTACATAAAAGTAGTTGCACAGTGCCTGAAATTTACCTGGGGAACTTAGCTGCTGCTGACCTCATTTTAGGCTTTTGCCTCCCTTTCTGGGCTATTGCCATTGCCAACAACTATCACTGGCCCTTTGGGGAGGTGCTCTGTAAAGCTGTGAACTCTTTTATGTACATGAACTTGTATTGCAGCATTTTTTTCTTGATGGCGGTCAGTGTTGATCGATACTTGGCTCTGGTGAAAACCATGTCTGTGGGCCGAATGCGAGGGACCTGTCATGCCAAATGCTACAGTTTCATCATATGGTTTTTCACAATGATAGTGAGCTCCCCTGTGGTGGCTTTCCGTACACTAAAGGACTATGATGAGGAGGGCCACAATGTCACTGTTTGTCGCTTTGTCTACCCATCACCCAACTGGGTCATCTTCACCAATATTCTCCTGAACATTGTAGGCTTTGTGCTGCCTCTGTGCATCATTTCCTTCTGCTCTGTGAAAATCATCCATGTTCTGCAGAACAATGAAATGCAAAAGTTCAAGGAGATCCAGACAGAGAAGAAGGCTGCCATCCTCGTCCAGGTGGTTCTTCTGCTCTTCATCATCTGCTGGCTCCCTTTCCAGGTCAGCACACTGATGGATACCCTCTTTCGGCTAAACATCATCTCGGGTTGTCAGGCTGAAATTATTATTGATGTGCTTACACAGGTAGGAACGTATATTGGTTATAGCAACAGCTTCCTGAACCCTCTTGTGTATGTTTTTGTGGGAAAAAGGTTCCGGAAGAAATCCAAGGAGGTTTACAAAGGATGGTTCAAGATTGGGTGGTGTCAATCAGACTCAATCCAAACAGAAAATTCGATGAGCACTTTGAAGACCTCCATATCAATGGACCGACAGATAAACAAACTGCATAGATATCGAGAGGGTAGTCAGTAATTTGTTCTATTTTATTTTTAAAAGACTGTAAAACTATGGCCGAACATATGTTCAGAGCCATTCTTAATATGTGCCAGCTACAGTTGGGGGTCAGACCACACCAGGGGCCAGTCGAAAAGCTTTCACTTTTCTGGAGATGCAGAGCAGTGAAGGGAGGGGAGTAGTAACTGATCACCCAACTTTGCATCCACCTAACCCCTCCTCTACACTGCCTCTGTATGACATCTTGGATCCTCAGAAGAAATGCTGGGCCTGGGAGCTCTCCTGCCTTCCAGGGACAGAGCAGTCACTGCCCAATTTGGAGTTGGCCAAATTGTTTTTCCTGAGGTTTTCTAAGGATGGAATCCCTGACTAATGAATACTCACCTCCAAGTTTAGTAAGGAAGTTGTTTAGGGATAAAAGACAAGCAGCACTATTTAACTCCCTCCACCTTCTGTATATTCAGATGAATAATTCAAAGAAGTAAGCCACGTTTCAGTGCAAGAAAGAGAATCTAAACCAATTCAACAAGTATTTCATGCTTGTCTACTATGAGACCTGCACTGCCGCTTGCCCTTGAGCAACAGTTGAGAAGATGAGAGAAATGCATGTGACCTTCTAGGGTAATGTGAAAGTAGAAAGAGGCATGATTAAATTGGGGCTAAAAGGCCAATCTTAGAGTTAGGCAAACCTGGGCTCAAGTCCAACCTCTGACACACACTGGCTGTACAACCTTGGACCATTCACCTAACTTCTCAGGGTCCAAGCAACTCTCAAAGAAAAAGAAGTTATCGAGGCCTTGGTAGAACATATCAGCTGCTAAATTACATCAGGGAACTCTAAGAGGTATTCCTACATCAGGCATTCCCCACACCAAAAAAGTTACCAATCTCACCTCATTCTCACCTCAGCTCCATCCCCCCCCCACAAAGAAAATCAAAACGTAAAGTTATGTGTGGTACTGGAAAGAATAGAGTTCCTGGATATTGGTCTCTGAATTACAACTAGCAGATGGAACTAGCATAACTTTAGGCAAATCACTCGACCTTTCTGTGGTTCCACCTTGCTCATTTGTGAAATAGTTGGTGTCAAGATTACATGAAACTAATGGGGAAGTACACAGAAAAGTGAAATGTGCTAAAAACAAAGTCAGACATTACTAGATGCCAGTGATGGATGAATTCAGTTGAGCAATAATTGTGGATGTAATAGCAAAGGATCATGGAGTCAGAGCTGGAAGGGGTCTTAGGAGTCCAATATACTTGTTTTACAGGTTAGGAAATTGAGGCATGGAAAAGTTCATGCCCAAAGTCATAAAACTAGTATGTGTCTTGAGGTAGAATCTGAACCCAGGTTTTCCTGGCTCCAAGTCCAGAGCCCTATTCACCACACCATGTAGCCTCTCATGGAAGTGAAATATTGAAAATATTGCAGGTCTTCAAATCTTTGTGAAAGGTACCTAAGGGTAGGGGCATTGTGTAGTTATCATGGATTAATACCCACTACAGAAATAACTTCTAAAACTTCAGTTTGTCTCAACAAAGAGCTCTGTGCTAAGCCCTACAGGTGCTTCAAATATGAATTTCAAGACACCATCTGTCTTCTTGGAGCTTACAATACTAAGGGACATGACTAAACAACTATACTTCAGGTTAAAATATGATAAGGCATATAGGTATAGGCAAAGTCACCATTGCCTGAGGTGAGCCTTGGAAGTTGACACGGTAGCCAAGCTTGTCCCTAATTTATCTTATCAGATTCATTATATCTTCAATAGGTACAGTGCCTAATAAAGACTCTTGTGGTGGTTTCTGGGTGAGTAAGGGGGCTGTTGGAAAAGAGATACAAGAAAAGTAGAAATAGTCCTTGCCTTCAAGGATCTTAAGACACACATGTGAGAAATGAAATCACTATAAAAAGCAACAATACAAAAGACCACATCATAATGCCACAGCATGTTAGAGATGGAAGGAACCTTAGCATCATGGAATTTCAGATTACAGAATGCTTAAGTAGGAAGGAGACTTAGAACATGGGATATTAGAGCTGAAAGGAGTTCTAGAGATGAACTAGTTTAAGCCAAAACCTCATTTTACAGATAGGGAAACTAGTGTCCCAGACAGTAGATTAACTTACTCAAGGTTATACTGCTAAGGGATAGAAGAGTGTTAGAAATAAAAATGTTGGAGGATTTCAGAGGGGGAAGAAGTCAATTTGGACAGGGGCAATTGGGGATGGGATTTGAGCTGAGCCTTGAATGATAAGTAGTCTTCGATAGGTCCACATATTTACAAAATTTAATCATGAATCACAAAGGTATAATTGCTTTAAGATATAATCATTTTTCTTTTGATGTCCTTTACTGCCCACCTGCCCTAGTAGCTGGAGAAGAAATAATAACAATGATAATAATAGCTGGCATTTATATATCATTTTGTAAAGAAAAGTGCTTTCACATACTTCAGGTAGAAATGAGAAGTATCACCAATACAGTATTAAAATGTATATATTGCCATGATGTACATAGGCCAACACGTATATATTGCCAAGTGAAGGGAAAGGCAGAAAGAAAGAAAGTGAGGTTATTTGTAGAGCATTTCATTAAAAGAGCACAGATGAACCAGCAGTGGGATGGTTCTATAAATATCTCCTGAGCAGTTTGAGAGGCATCTGCTTCCTCTCTTGCCATTTCAAACAATGTCACAGGGTGACTAGCCCTTGGCCCCAGAGCCACATAGCAGAGGCAGTTATTCAAACTGTCACACATCTGATACAAGTGTGTCTGTAAAGGGGAAGAGAAGAGAAAGTTGTGATTATGAGTTGTATTGATGTTGTAATATAAAGTATTACGTCTTTCAAAAGATCAGAAATTGTGTTTCAATGTAGAAATAAAATCAGTTTTACATGTAAAGAATAAATGGATGAATGATGTAAACATGCAACAATCTATTCAATTTTGTAAGTGAATGAAACAGAATTGAGTTAAGGTAGGTATGTGAAAGGTTCTGTATGAACCCAACTAAACTGAGTTACATCTATTAATGATGAGGGTAGAAGGAAGGCAAGCGAGGGAGACCTGGGAAGGAAATAAACATTTATATAGCAATTTCTATGTGCCAGGCACTGAAGAGTTTTACAAATATTATCTTATTTGATCCTCACAATAACCCTAAGCGGTAGGTGGTGTTATTATCCCCATTTTAGCTGAGGAAATGGAGGCAAATAGAGGTTAAATGACTTGCCCATGGTCACACAGTTAGTAAATGTATGAAAATGGATTTGAACTCAGATCTTCCTTACTCCATGCCCAGGACTCTATCTACTGCGACTCCTAGCTGCCTGAGTGAAGAAGAACACCATAGAAAACAACAGAATCAAAGCAATCTACCACTGTGCTCCTTTATCCCATAAAGCAATGGTCTCCAAACTTTTTTGATCATGTACTACTATCTGTAAAAAAGTTTTATCATACACTACCAGTAGATGTATATTTACCTAGATAAATTATATGCAAGTATTACTATACTAATAATTATACATGTTATGAAACATCCACAAAAATAGAAATTAAAAAGGACAAAATAAAGATGAATAGAGTAAGAATAAGATATCTAACATTTATATAGCACTTCTGGGTTCGCAAAGCACTTACAAATATCTCATTTTACTTTCACAACAACCTTTTATTATCTTTATTTTATAACACCTGGAAGGTGATATCATCTTTATTTTACAGAGGAGGAAACTGAGACATAAGTGACCTGCCCAGGGTCATACCATTATTATGTATCTGAGGCAGGATTTGAATCCAAGTCTTCTTGGCCTATTTAGTCCTGTCTGGCTTACTACTCACTTCCTAGCCATCCCCAATCTACATCACTAAATATTTGTGCCTTCTCACCACCAGACCCAAAATTTTACTTCTAGTTCCTCTTTATGTGGTGTCTTCCCCTACTAAAATGAAACCTGAGGGCAAGGACTGTCTCGCATAGTAGGTATTTAACAGGTTCTTTTGCAATCATTCATTCGTTCATACATTCATTCATAAGGCATGGCTCTCTGGGAGGTGATGGAGGAAAAGGTACAATGGTGATATAAAAACAAAATATATCAATAAGAATTTAATTTTTATGAGATTGAACAACTTATTGGATATGTGAAGTGAGGAATAGAGAATAAAATCAAGGTTGTAAACCCAAGGATACCCATGCCCTTAAAAGAATATCTCAAAGTGATCTCTTCCTCCCCTGAAATCCCTCACAGAATCCTTCAGAACCACCTTCTTCATGGAGCCTTTCCTGATTTCCCCCCCAAATACTAGTGCCCTTCTTTATACGGGCCGCTCGCTGACCCTCTGCCAGTCGTGCGCCAGTACCC